GGTCCCTTGTGCCGGACCCTCGTTGTCACCTGCCCCCCTGGTGCCACCCTGTGCTGTGGCCGGGTCTGCAGCCCCCGTTCTGTACAGGGCTCTGGGCCAGCACGGCAGGGCACGAAGCACCAGCAGCACACCTGGCACCACTGACATCCCCCTTCCCCAGCATCTCCTGCTGCCCTGCTGGGGTCAGGATCCTGCTCCGGGTAATTCCGAGCCCTTCGGTGCTGGGATGGGGCCCAGTGACGGCCCCAGGGCTGAGGAGAGCCCTGGGGAGTGCGTGGGGGCACCCATGGGACTGAGGGGTGCCACAGGACCCCCACCCAGAGCGTGTGCCCCCCACCGTGTGTGTGACCCACGTGAGCTAATTCCATTAATTAATTCCTCGTCCTGGCTGCCAGCCTTGTCGTGGAGCGGGGAAACTGAGGCAGCGAGGGGGCTGCTCGCAGCGCCCATGGGCAGTGCAGGGCAGGCTGCATCAGCCGTGGAGCAGTTGAAAGGTGAAGAGCAGAGGTTGGGGGCAGAGTCCAGAGCGGGGGTACGTGCCCGTCCCTCCCCTGCCACGCTCCAGAGCTTCCCCTCCCGTGGGACCTGTCCCAGCCCATTTTCAGAGCCCCCCCCCGAGCCCCAGGGTGCAGATCCCGGGCAAGGCCGGGCTGTGACACCAGTGCCATTCGCAGGAGCTGGCAGGGGGACAGAAATGGGCACGGTGGACTTCGCCCTGGCACCGCAGCCCTGTCTCCCTCCAGTGACGGGGATGGACAGACACGGCTGTGATGGGCCCCCATGGGGTGGGTTTTTGGGTGGGTTTTTGGGTGGGTTTGCAGCTGTCCGTGCTATCGGTGTCCCCAGCGGGGTGTCACCCGCCTGCCCCGTGTCCCCACGCCCTGCTGATAGAGCGCTGCCTCCCCTTGGGGTGCAGGAGGGGCTGATAAAGGGCTGGGCAGGAGTCCCACGGGCAGGGGGACCCCAGCTGTCCCTGGAGCCCCTCAGTCCCTGGCTTGGGGACACGGTGGCACTGTGCATGCCGTGCCTGGAGCTGCTGCCCGCGCCTCTTCCCCCTTTCCTTGGGGAAGGAGGTTTGGAAACTTGCTGGGGGAATCTCCATCAGGGTCCTGGCACTGCCGGGGGGTTCTGGGGTACCTCTCCAAGCCTGGCTGGGGAGGGTTTGGGTTCCTGGGGCGCCCCAGGGGCCTTTGGCACATTGTCCCAGGAGTGACCTGCAGGAACGGGGCCTGGGGGAAGCGCCATCCCCGGCAGGGCAGGGCTGGTGGCCGCCCCTCTGAGTCACATCATCCCCTCCTCCACCTTCGGTGCCACGCAGGGATGGAGCTGCTGCTCCCAGCTGCCACCATGGGCCAGGGTCCCACTGGGCGCTGGTGCCAGGGCCAGGCTGACCTGTGCTCTGCTGGGGACTGTCCCTGCTCCTGGAATGTCCCCGTGCCTTTGCTCTGGGGCATGACACTGCCACTCGCCCCAGGGCGCTGGGTGGGAGCACTTCAATCCTGAAACCCTCCCTGGATCCCGGTGCAGGATGGTCTGCACGCCCCAAACCCCGTTTGGGCAGTGGGGACGGCACAAAGGCACATCCCACGCAGGCATGGGACATCCCACCGAGCCTCCACCACATCCTGGTGCCCCTCCCAGTGCCCCGTCCCCTCCGTCTGCCCCCGGGGCTGTGCCAGCATTGCCCCCCAGCACGGGGGCGAGTGTTGGTCCCATCCCCAGCTCTGTGAAGGCAATCAGGAGAAACTCTTGGCCAGGTCCACCCTGTCACAACACCCTGGCTCTGCTGGCTGGGGAAACTGAGGCTGGGCGAGCTGTGGGGGTCATGGTGAGTGAGGAAAGGTTGTGCCATGAGTCAGCAGAGCGCTCAGGGAACGGGACCTGGCATCCCGACCGTGCCCGCTGGCACCTTCCAGCCCGGTGACGTGCTGGCGCCTGCCCCGAGACCCCCACCCGCATCCTCCTTCGGCTCCTTGCACCTCCCTTGGAGGTTTTCTCGGGGAATTTATGGCTGCTGGCTGCAGGGGGGGTTATTTTTAGACGCTATAAAAAGCAGCCGGAGTTGCTTTCGCTCCCTTCCCGCTTGGCGCCTCGGGATTATTCGCGCTCGGTGGAGCAGCACCTGCCCGTGGCCTTGGCACCGGCTGCTGCTCGAGCCCACAGCCCTCGGCAGGCTGTCCCCTTGCCTGCTGACCCCGTTTTGGCCAGGGTGGCACCTCGGGCCCGTTGCTGGCCCAGGCTGGGGGAGCTGCCTGTGGCACTGCTGGCAGCGCCTGGATTTGCTGAGTGTGTGTGAGCTGGTCTGGACTAGAGCTTAGCGGGGAGGGGGTGGGAGAAGGGGAGCCCTGCTGGCCCCCACACCAGCGTGGGCACAAGAATTTGTTCTGCTGACCCCTTTGTGCCAGCTCTGTCTGCTGGGGGAGTTCCCAAGGGCTTCTCCTTTCCTGAGCTGTGCCCGTCCACAGGGTGCTGGAGGGGGTGGGGGGATGTCCTGGGGGGGATGTCCTGGGGCTCTGAGGGGCTCCAGGGGTCTCTGCCCTCTCCTGTCACCCTGTCCTTCGTGTCACGCAGATTGACGAGATGCCAGAAGCTGCAGTCAAATCCTCCTCCAATAAGTACCAAGTCTTCTTCTTCGGGACCCACGAAACGTGAGTGGGAGCCGGGGCTCCCGGGGCGGGTGGTGCCAGTGAGTTTGGGGGAGGCAGAGATGCCCCCCTGCTCCCACCCCTGACTGCTTCCCCCCCGGCACAGAGCATTCCTGGGGCCCAAAGACCTCTTCCCCTACGAGGAGTGCAAGGAGAAGTTTGGAAAGCCCAACAAGCGGAAAGGGTTCAGCGAAGGTTTGTGGGAGATCGAGAACAACCCCACGGTCAAAGCCTCCGGTTACCAGGTGGGTGAGGAGCTCGGGGGGGCTCCATCCCACCTCCCCCCCCATTGTTCCTCCTTCCTGGGGGGCTCGCTGTGAACCCCCCCATGCCCACAGCCCACCCAGAAGAAGAGCTGCCCCGAGGCGGCCGAGCGGGAGCCGGAGGGGGACGGGGAGAAGAAGGGCAGCGCCGAGGGCAGCAGCGACGAGGAGGGGAAGCTGGTGATCGACGAGCAGTCCAAGGAGAAGAACGAGAAGGGCAGCGCCAAGAGGAAAGCCGAGGATGCTTTGGAGGTGCCGGGCAGGGCGTGGGGGTGTCGGGGATTGGGGTCGGGCTGGGCTGAGCCAACCTTCCCCCCGGGCAGGATTCCCCCAAACGCCCCAAGGATGCGGAGGGGCAGGAAGGGGACAAGGAGGTGGACAACGAAGAGGCGCCCAAGGAGGAGCCCAAAGGCAACCCGGGCGAAGGGGAGAAGAACAGCGACGCCGCCGACACGCCGGCCACCAACCAAGCCAAGCAGGAGGGCAAGGAGGAGGTCAGAGACCACAAGGAGAGGTGAGGGGGGCGGCGTGCTGAGCCCTGGCCTCGCAGCCTGCAGGTTTTGGGGGCATCCCCGGCGCCACAGGGGTCTGACCAAGAGCCTTGCCTCTCTTCTTGGCTCCTCACAGCCTGTAGTGGCTTCCCTGGCGAGCTGATCCTTCCCCCTCTGGCTCCTGGGTGCTGCCTCACGCCGGCTCGTCGTGTCAGGAGCTCCGGACAAGAGAAACCACCCCAAAAGGAAATTTCCAAAAAAAAAAAAAAAAAAAAAAAAAAAAAAAAAAAAAAAAAAAAAAAAAAAAAAAAAAAAAGAGGAATGCAGAGCAGCCCGGTACTGACCCCGAGCGCTCCGTGCCTGCCCTGCCGTGGGCACACGCTTTGTATTGGTGATTCCTCGGGGCTGAGCAGTTGATTTGAAATAAAAGCGAATCTTGCCTTTTTAAAAGCTGGGTTAGAGCCTGGACCCCCCTGCATGGGTGGTTTTGGGAGCCTTGGGGCTGCCACGGCCCCTCTGGCAGCTCTGGAGTTGGGGGAGAGATGGGGCAGGGGCAGGGAAGGGTTTTGGAGGGGAGCAGAGAATGCCCTGACTGGATGAGACACAAGGACCAACTCTTAATCCCAGCCCTGCACATGGTACTTCAAAATCCCAGCATCCAAAAGCATTGTCAAAACACTCCTCGACCTTTAGGATCATGAAATTATGGAGTATCCTGAGCTGGAAGAGACCCACAGGGATCAGCGAGCTCTGGGCTTGCACAGCACACCCCAAAATGCTCCCAATCCCACCATCCTAGAGTTGCATAAACACTCAGCTTCTCTGCTGGATGGAATTGTGGAATATCCTGAGCTGGAAGAAACAGTTCTGGGACCTGCGCAGGACACCCCAAAATACTCCAAATCCCACCATCCTACAGTTGCATAAACACTCAGCTTCTCTGCTGGATGGAATATCCTGAGCAGGAAGAATTGAGTCCAGTTCTGGGGCCTGCACAGGACACCCCAAAATGTCCCAAACCCAATGTCCTAGATGTCCCAAATGTCCCAGAGCTTTGTCCAAGCACTCAGCTTCTCTGCTATAACAGTTGGAATATCCTGAGCAGGAAGGGACCCATCAGGATAATCGAGGTCAGTTCTGGGGCCTGCACAGCACACCCCAAAATGTCCCAAACCCAATGTCCTAGATGTCCCAAATGTCCCAGAGCTTTGTCCAAGCACTCNGAGGTCAGTTCTGGGGCCTGCACAGCACACCCCAAAATGTCCCAAACCCAATGTCCTAGATGTCCCAAATGTCCCAGAGCTTTGTCCAAGCACTCGGCTTCTCTGCTGGGATATTCCACTATCCTGCCAGGACAATGAAGTCCGGCTCTGGCCACCCCAAAATCACATCCTGTGCCCGAGGGCCGTCTCCAGACACTCCCTGAGCCGTGCCAGGCTCGGGCCGTGACCATCCCTGCCCGCTCTGCCCCACACACCCAACCACGCAGGAGAGGCCAAACCGGGCCCTTCTGGCCGAGCCCGGCTCCCTGCAGAGGGGACAGCGGAGCCCGCCCCGTGCCCCAGGGCCAGCCGCGGGGACGGGGAGGGCAGCGGCAGAAGATGCAGCCGCGGCCGGACCACGGCTCCCGGCAGCCGCTCACCGGGGCCGGGGCTGCGGCGGGGCCGGGGCACCGGGGCGGCGCTGGAACTACAGCTCCCGGCGTGCCCCGCGCCAGGACCGCCACTCCCGGCGTGCCCCGCGCCAGGACATCAACTCCCGGCGTGCCCCGCGCCAGGACCGCAACTCTCGGCGTGCCCCGCGCCAGGACCTCAACGCCCCCGCGTGATTGGTCACTCCCGTGCCGGTTCGGCCACGCCCCCGCCACGCCCCCGGAGCGCGGGAGCGGCGCGGCCCCGCAGGTGAGCGGGGTCGGGCTGCGGGACCCCCGTGCGGGCTCCGCGGGCCCTTCCCGGGCTGCCGGGGGTGTTTGTCGGGGCTTGGAGCCCTTTCGGCGTGGCCGGGGCTCTGCGGGCCCTTCCCGGGCTACCGGGGGTGTTTGTCGGGGCTTGGAGCCCTTTCGGCGTGGCCGGGGCTCTGCGAGCCCTTCCCGGGCTACCGGGGGTGTTTGTCGGGGCTTGGAGCCCTTTCGGCGTGGCCGGGGCTCCGCGGGACGCCGCGGGGTCGTTGCCGGCGGGCTGGGTGGAAGGGGTGTGCTCTGCGGGTTCCCTGGGGGAGGTTCGGGGGGTTTTGGGGTGGGGGAGGCTCTGCCAGTGGCCGTGTGGTTTTTGGGGGGACGGGATCTGCGGGACGCCTGGGTGCTCTCCCTGGCTGTGCGACGCCCGTGTTCCCCCCTGGGGGAAGGGGAAGATGAACGTGTGAGTCCTCGGTTCTCTTCGGGGAGCTGGGGGTCTCCACAGGTCCCCTTTGGGAGCTTTGCAGGACACCTGCGTCCCCTTGGGGTGGGGGGGTGCCCTGTGGGACCCCTGGGTCCCTCCATGGGTGAG